CTTTTCAAGGTTGACACAAAGCCCCAAATCTGTCAGTAGATGAAGTGTGTAATTATGTTGTTTCTAACAGGACTCACCCACCCGCCAGAAGACAACTGTCAATGTAAGGAACACCATGACACTTCTGGTGCAAATTTTACCTATGCATGACTGATATGTTGAACAGTAAGACTCTGAACTGGATCATAACTCAACACAGACCAAACAGTGGTATTTCAGATAATGGTCTTGATTTAAAAAGTGGAAATAAATGTCTTTGAGATCTAGCAAAGCAAAATATATGAAAACAAATATGAAGAATGGAGACTAAGGTGACCATCTGAAACTTCCTTGTGTGGACATACTGATTAATCTCCCTTAGATCAAGATCCAAATGATGACTCTCATTCTTCACTGGTGCCATGAAGGTAGATGGTAAAGAAACCAGTGTGCTCACGATGAAGGGGTACTGATCCATTGCTTCCCTCTGCAGAAGTATAGGCACTTCTTCTTGGAGTAACAGTCTGATGATTGTATTGACTGGAATCTCCCTGCAGGTGGTAGGGTTTTAAATTTGATTATAACCACAAATTGTTGGTAATGGTGCATCAGATGTTGAAGGGAGCACTGAAGGGAATCTACAGATGACAGGTAACACTGCTGAAACTGACAGATGTGGGCATTGTGACAACCTGGAGAGTCATAGGTCCAAAACACACTGCAGAAAAGATCCAGTTTGAGACCTCTTTAACTGCCCTGGCTCAATGCTAGGGAATCCTGGGAACTGTAGTTCATTGAGGCACCAGGGCTCACTTTAAAGCAGTCTCAAACTGGATTATTTATTCAGTGTGTTCTATAGACCAAAGACAATGTCAGTATAAGCACAAAAACTTTTTGGAGGAATTGGTTGGTACTGTTTCTTTTGTGATGATCCCTTGAAAGCTGGCTGGAAGACTTGGTCAGATGTCAGACCCTTGAGAAGGAGGAACAGTCTGAATACTCAGAAGGCAGATGATGGTCTGTCTAGTGCTGTGAGAAAATGAGGACTGTCAACTGACATACATAATTTTGCAGCAACCCTGGCCTTGCAAAGGTGATCTTAGGCCTTGTCAATCTTACTATTAAATAAACCCAGTTCACTGAAAGGCAGGTTCTCTATCTGAGACCTAGTACTGTGTGTGATATCAGCAGGCCTCACCCAGGCATGGGGTCTCAAGGTAACAGCCGTAAACATGACTATGGAGGCAGAGTGCAGGCAGCATTCATTTTTTGGCTAGGCAGTCTGGGCACCTCTGTGTGGAACTTAGTGGTAAGGTTGTGATGACCATCCAGAAGCCTGTTGAGGAAAGGAGCAATCTATTGTGAGAAAAAGTGCTGATAAGCAGCTATCCAAGGCTCATAATAACTAACCATCATGGCCAGATCAATAAAGGCATTCTTCATGTGTGAAATGCACCCTCTTTCTCTCCTTAGGCAGAGGGAAAAATATTCTCTTGAATCTAGTATAAATTTTGTATCCAGCATGATGTGAGAGGTATTGAAGATGGGTTAGCTCATGACTTCTAGATGAGATCCAACAGTGTTGGCAAGAAAAGCAGAAGAGGCTAAACAGTGTTGGAATCAACATGCTGGAATACTGGGTCTGATTACCAGTGGAGGTTGAGCCTTGGCTTTTAGCCCAAGCAATTTCATCATCCTGAGGAAAGATGTGTCACTTTAACAGTCAATCCCTCCATGAGTGTGGAGAGCGCTGAAGGTCTTTGTCAGGTAGTGATACCAATGATAGTAAAGAGGAAATGCTCTCTGGGGCAGAGATGGATCAAAGTAGGAGAAGGAGCTGGAAGAACTTGTACAACCTGATGTCCTCAAATGGGAAGAGGGTTTTGTATCAGTCATGTTATGATCTGGAAGTTAGTAGAAGGAAAAGATGGAGAGGAAGAATCTGATCCATTATTCTCTGCTGAAGAATCCTTTGAGACCCAATCCCTTCACGAGACATCAGGACTATGATCTGGAGGAACAGTCCGTTAGGGCAGCAAACACAGGTATGAAACTGGCAATGGACTCATGCTGATCAGGCTATGCCAAGAGAAAAAACAGTTAAACCCGGTTGTTTCAAAGTGGAGGTGAGACACATAGCAGCTGTATGTATGGAAGTCACAACAGTACAGCAGCATTACAGACACACAAAAGCATTGATGGACATTGTGGCATGGTGTGGAGGCTGCAGTGGCAGTGATAAGGTGAGACTCTTATCTCGCACAGAAGCTGTAAATACAGGTGATACTGACAAGTGCTCAGACAGCGTAGAAGGAGGTAGCAGCAATGGTACAAAAAACACCGTAGTCAGTGAAATAAGTAATATTGCCAATAGTAGATTCTGTGAAGGATAATGGTCTGGAGGTCAGGAGATGGTTGCAGTTGGAGGAGTACATCAAGAAAATGAAGAAGAGTAGTGCCTCCTTGCTTCCGTAGGGAGAATAGCATGCATATGCAACAAAAAACAGTAAACGAAAAAATGAAACAATCATAATTGAAAGACAGGAAACAAAAATAAGATGAAAAATGAAAAGAGAAGCCCAATGTAGAAAACAGATCTTAGTGATATAGTACTGACAAAGCAAATGTCCCCATTGCTGCTGCCTATGTGGTGGATGAAAGAAAAACAAGGAGAGTACACTGGTACATAAGAATGTTTGCAATAGAGATTGGGAGTGGAGTTACCACCAAAAAGCTACTCAACTATGGAAGAATCTGAATGAGGCTCTGTGCCAGCTCAACACCAATTTATGTGAGATACAGGGACTACAAAGAAGACTCACAAGCATGGCACAGTATCTAAACAACAATAAAAATCTCATAAGGTACAGAGAACTGTTGCCTTGGTTTTGCTTTGTGCTCACAATCTAATGGATTACTGTACTGGAATAAGGTAAGAATTTTCCCTCAGCCAGTTAATGAGAGGAGTTTCCTGCAAACCTACTCCCCTTTTCATGCACAATAATAATTAGCAGTCACTTACATAGTATCATAAAGAATTCTGTTCATTCCATACTGTTTATCATGCACAAAATTTATCACCTGTGTAAAAACATGGAGTTGATAGCTGGACCATCTTGAACTGGGACTTTCAACCTTCATGATTTTGGGCTCTTCTGGTGTTTGTCAAATATATACTACAAATAAGAAAGCAACCCCTCTCCATTCACAACTACATAGTACCATTCTGACATAATTCTGGTGGCTCCAAATCAGAACAACAGAACTTCTCTTATTTTAAAAATGGCTGATTTGCTGAATAAAATATACATACATCCTGACTCAATTGAGAATCTGATGTTTTGCTGTGAACAACCAACTAAACAACATCTGACAGGATTTGGACTTTAAAGACAGGCTTCAGCTACTATCACGGACAACTTTTATAGTTTAAAATGCAATTAACATATCATTTTGTAGAAAAAACTTACATTGGCACAAAGAAGTGGCTGAGGCGAGGATTTAAAGCCGCAGCTATGCCAGTGTCGGAGCTGAAGAACAGACATTAAAAGATATATAATTAAAGTCAAGTATAATTTTGTCTGTCTACTTTTGAAATACTACTTTTGAAATTATGTGGGTATTGTGGGCATCCCTCTCCTCCCCCATTAAGTATTTTCAAATATTATACACTGATTTACAGACAGGAGTTTGAACACTGGCCTGGCAAATCTATGTCCAGAATTTCATATTATAGAGCTCCCTTGGATGCATTGTACATTCAGCAATCATTACTTCAAACAATGAAGACAATACCACATTCCCATTGAAATATGGCATACAAACTTCAAAAATGCAATTTCAAAGTAACTATAAAGTGGATCTAGGGAACAAAGCTCCTAGTTCAGCTCTAACCTCTGCAATGTACTCCTTAAGCAAATTTTGGCAGTTTTATCTCTGGGAAATCTACAGTAGTTCACCAAGGATTTCTAATGCCCAAGTATTTGAACAGTAAAACTCCAAGAAAAAAAAATTCTGACTTGCTTTGTAAGAATCATTTCTCTCTGAGTTTTAGTGTCCTTCACTAGTAAAAAGCCAAATAATTGGTTGCTTTTGGCAAAGTTATTTTCCAACTCCACTGGTCATATTCAGAAATATATTAGACTTCTTAATCTGTAAAAGCTCTCATGTAGATGCAGGCTCATATAGTAATCAGTCTAGTCTTAGGAATCATCATTTCACATATCATGTGAAATGTAATTTTGGATTCAGCCCTATTTCAAATGACCATTTTTGCACTTGATTCTTCTTAGTGGATCTCAGAATTCCGATAAGAAAAACAAATAGTCTAGGTAGCATTTGGTATGCTAATCTTAGCCTCAGTATGCCCATATATGGATATTCACTTACTGACCTACAGTTATCCTGTTGGAAGTACTACTGAGATTATATGAATTACTTTGGACACTGTGTGTATGTGCCTTGAACTTGCCAGGGGACTTATGGCGACCTCGTAACTTTCATATTGTTTTTTTAGGCAAGGAATACCCAGTTTGCCAGTTCCTTCCTCTGAAATATATTTGGAATTTGTTGGTAGTCTCTCATCCAAGTACTACCCAGAGCTGACCCTGCTTAGCTTCCAAGATCAGATGGGATCTGGTGCCTTTAGGGTAAATGCTAGATAAAGTCAAAGTATTACTATTACAGAACAACAGCAGCTGCTTGATAGTCTGCCCCCATAAACTATCTCAAACTATTTCTGACATTGTTCAGGGCATTTGAAAGAAAGAAAGAAAGAAAGAAAGAAAGAAAGAAAGAAAGAAAGAAAGAAAGAAAGAAAGAAAGATCTATTTTTTCTCTGTTGAAATTAACATTACTAAAATAGTGAGTAAAAGGTTTTTCCATCTTTTTAAGCATTTCAAAAGTTGTTGTTGTTGTGTGCCTTAAAGTCTTTTTCCGTTATGGCAACCCTAAGACAAACCTATCACTGGATTTTCTGAAGCTGAGAGTGACTTGCCCCAAGGTCACCAAGTGGGTTTTCATGTCTGAGTGTGGACTCGAACCCTGGTCTCCAGAGTCACAGTCCAAAATTCAAACCACTACACCACACTGGTGTACTACAATCCTTGTAGTTTTCTATGTTATATTTTCTGTTCTCTGGTTCCTTTGATTTATGCTAAGGCAATCTGTACATTAAAAATAGGAAAAGATATGATGCTTAATCATTCCAATACACTCAGGGTTTAAAATCTTTCATACTTTGCATGAAATCCTGATTTTTTAATGATTTAGTTAAACATATATAAGCATTTTCTGTTTGGTTAATATTGAAGAACATACAACAGTTATATTCTTAAATCAGATATTTCTGGAAATGACCTTCAATGAACTGGCAGACAACATATGAAAACTATTATCCTCATTCACTGGGTATTAACAATTCAAAAAAGCACAGTTCTAAAATAACACCAATTTCTTGACAAGATTATCACTACTTGTTCAGGTCCGACATCAGCTGCTACAGTTTATTTCTGCTCTATAACTTTTGCATCTGTTTGAGCTATAAATTGTACAATGGAACATTATGTATCTGTCCAAAAAATGGGCTGATACACATATACAGAAATAGCATGTGACAGTAATGCTCCTTCTCAAAAATATTACTTCAGACTTCAGCTGTGAGGTCATATGTGTGAATGCCACTTAACTGCCTACCTTTTTAAGAACCATGGATTTATGATTGTTTCTCCCAAAGTTACCCTAGTTTTTATATGAAAAGAGTGCAGTGATTTTTAGATTTTGGAATTTTTAAATCTTCTGCTCCATTTTAACCTGAATGTGTTAATATTGTCCCAGCAAAGCATTGATTTTTTCAAGGTTTGGTAACTTCATTCAAGATACTCAAAACCTCAATACCCATTCACAGTGGACACTAATCTCCAAGGAGGGGAACAGAAAACAGCAGGATAACTCAATTGGCAAGACAGTCTACATAAGAGGAAATAATCATGTTGGTGTACAAAATCTCTATAGTACCCTATCCACTTTTAGGAAGTTGCCAATCATATTTAAATGCTTTGTGCTAAAACTATCAAACAAAGCATGAAAATATCCTATGCTTGCATATCCCAAGAGGCAGTCTCATGAGTCTCAACTTCCAGTCACTTTACACAGGAACCTTGGGAATAATGCTGTTTCTGTCATACATGTAGCCAAATATGGAATACTAAATAAGATAACATAATGAAATTCAAGAGACTAGCACTGAAGAAAAAAATCCAGATAAACTTGTTGCTGCTGTTAGATTCTGAACAATGGGATTGGAGCAGCTTTAAGCTGTAGTGGCAAAGCAAAATTTGTGTGTATGCATGTGTTGTATGTGTACACGCATGCATGTGCATATTATCTAAAGCTATAAATACAGTGACATTTCCCCATCCAAACAGCCTAGTGAGATTAAAGACAGCCCCAGCTTGCTCTGCAGAATAAAAAATAAGAAACAGTTCATGTTGCTTTGATTTGAGAGCATTAGTGCAAAACTTTTACATGCAGTCATCCTGAAAGAATTTTGTCCTGACTAACCTTTAACACATATAGCCTAATTCCCATTTTTTTTTATTTTACTTAAAACAGCCCAGAAAGCCTGTAATATCTAGCTCAATCCAAAATAACAAATACTTTAATGAAACAGCATTTTGAAAGCCAGAAGAAAAAAGAAAACAGTGAATAAACACTTGGTTTTTACAGACCCCATTAGAGAATATTCAAGCTCCTTTCTTACTTTGCAGCAGTGTGAGAAGATCTGACATATGTATTCTTGAGTATATCGAGACCTACTGAGCAGTGCCAAGAGGTGGGGAATAACTGTAGCATCCTAGAAAATCAGGGAAGAAAACTGAACATTAAAACTAAAAATTTAAACACCAGCAAGCAGTTACTGTATATTTGCTAAATATACTAATTCAGCCTTTCTCCCCCTTTTGTTCAGATTCATAAGTCAACAAAAAGCTTGCAGCCTCAGAAATTATACATGCATGAAAAACTTTAACAGAAGGATTTTGTCATCTATAGAGTTGTATCATTGCTCAGCAATGATAACAGAAGGATTTTGTCATCTATAGAGTTGTATCATTGCTGGTAGCAGAAGATACACTGATATTCTCAGAATATTGGTAATTTCCACTTTGCTTATAAAGGAGTTCTCTCTCTCTCTCCTTCCCAACAGTAGGAGTTGTTTGACAGTAGGACACATTGCCTCAGGGAGTGGTGGAGTCTCCTTCTTTGGACATCTTTAAACAGAGGTTAGATAGTCATATGTTGGGAGTGCTTTGACCATATATTCCTGCATGTCAAAAGGCTGGAATGGATGGTCCTTTTGGTCTCTTCAACTATATGATTCTATCATTCAGCAATGCTAAGGATTACTTGGAAACAGATGGCTAGTCTGCTAAAGACTTAGAAGCTAGCAGAAGTTTAAAAGGGCTTGAAGTATTTCTTACAACCAAAGCACATCTATTAAATAGTTCATTTTTATTGCATATACATTATCCAGTTTCCATTTAATATCACTATCATTATTTATAAATCACTGTCAGTATGAAGAATGCTTTACAGATAAACATGAGCAAAAAGGAGCTTTCTGGTCTGAGAAAACACTGCTCTATCAACAGTATTTGATAGTGTACTCTCCATATTCCATTAGGCCTCTCACCCTATCATGGAGGGGAGCCTCTCTGCAAGTCAAAAGTCAGGGTTCCTAGGTCCCACACAGCCAATATGAGTTTTCTAGCTCCTCACATTGCTGTCCTAGGTCTAAACCAAATCAATTAGGTAGTCTGCCTAATCCCTCATGTTCACTCAGCCTGAGTCAGAGGAAACCTAAGCCCAATTCCTTCTAAGAGCCAAAAGCCAAGGCAACACGCACTGGTCCAGAGCCTTAAACAACCCCAACAGTAGCATTTGATGCAATGGCCAGCACTGGACTAAGTTCCAAGGCAAAAGCCTGAATAAAAATACTGTATGATCAAATTGAATAGAAAGATTTATTTACACAGTGTAGGGGAAACAGAGCTATTTGCAAACCCAAACACATTTTGGGAAATGTAAACATTAATAAATGTACAGTTAAGCTAGCTATATTTACCAATATCTAGGCAGGATCTCAGATCACAGTGACAAAGCAATGTTCCAAGTGAAAGACTCTCACTCAAAGCAGCTGCAATGACAAACATCTCTACAGAACATAAATGTAGGTTGATTATGACCAAGGGCAAAGTGAGAATTTTTATACCTATTATCCTGAAAAAACATACTGGACCTAAACAGCCTTTCTAGAGGATGAAAGCCTCAAACATGCTAGTCTTATGTGTACCATTCTGCATCTCTTTCTCAACCAAAATTGCTCTCACTTGGGACCTTGAGTTCTAACCTTGACTAGATCAAAACACACACTTATAGGTAAATTTATTATTTATTATAGGTACAGATAAAAATTAGGTCTGAATCCTTAGGCTACAGAAGAAACTAAAGACTGCTTGAAATCATAAACCATTCTTCATGACACCACCCTTCCACAAAATTCTAATTTCTGAAAATTTTCATTTTTGAAAGATAAAATAAAACAAGTAAAGGTAATTCTGGAAACTGTCTTATTCTCATAATCTATTATAGGTCTGAATCAATAATCAATAATTCACAAAGTCTACCAGTTACCTGTATCAATTTACAAAGCTGGAGAAATCTCCAATACTTGCTAACTGCCTGGGAATGTATGATCATGGGGACTGTCAAGCACTTAGTATTTAGGTTACTGGCTCAAAAGGTAGGCTGGTATGAGGAATTAAAATAAATGGCATCATATGGGAGTTCCAATTTTCCTATCTGCAAATTATCCTTATTGTGGAAATGGCAGGAACGTCACTGACAGCAGACTCTGAACTGACAACAGTCACTAGAACAGAATTACTGTGGAGAATTTTTTTGTTCCTTTCTATGGTAATCCTGCCCATCATTAATTTTGAGGACACTAAAAGGAAGGAAGAGTTGGTTCCAAGAAAAAGCAACAGAAATCCTGCTGTACTACCAACAAGCAAGACATAAAATCATAAATCATCAGACACTATTCCTTTCATCAAGAAACTACTTTTAATTCTTTCATGGCTAAGAAAACCATGAACAGCACTCAAGACAAGTGCTGAGATACTATCAGGGACCTGCCAGGGCCCACCACTGTTGTCCCCCAGATTCTCCCCATTCTACTACTGCTAGCCAAAGGCTTTCACGGTCGGCATCCATAGTTTTTTGTGGGTTTTTCGGGCTATGTGACCGTGTTCTGGAAGAGAATGCATTCTGTGAAGATGCCAGCCACAAATGCTGGTGAAACATCAGGAATAAACTCTTCCAGAACATGGCCACATAGCCCGAAAAACCCACAAAAAATTACTGCTGCTACCTCTCCTCACTATTTAATTGAGCCTGCAAGCATAAATGAGGAGAGAGAACAGTATTTATTATCTACATTGTATTTTCCTCTGGACAGTTGTGTACATGGATACCATGACAAACATGGGCCTATCCCAGTTAGTCAACGGGCC